TGCGGTTTTCTCCCCACGCTCGGGCCTTTCCACGGCCAGGCAGCGACGTCGCGCCGTCGGCAGACGTCGGGGCAGCTACTTCTTCAAACGGACGCCGCCCCTGTCGCGCCGCAGCCCCGCGCGCTTCGGCAGCCCTTCGCAGGGGATATCCACGTCGCGCTCGTTGACATCCTTGCAGCAGCGCTTCAGTCGCCGCGCGTCATCCCCCCGAGACTCCCGCCAGCACTTCGCCGGCGAGCTCCGCGACACCTTAAGTCTTCGTCACCTCTCCGTCGGTGTCGTGGTCTCTTCGTCGTCGCCGTCTCTTCGTCATCGTCGCCGCCAGCGTCTCTGCTCGCCTCTCGCAGTGTCGTCGACGCCGGCGTCACCAGTCTCTCCCCAGTGAGGGTGTGGGCGGCTTCGCGGAGCAGCAGCAGGACAAACGGTGGCGATGGAGAAGACAAAACGCGCCATGCACACCGACGGTGCGTGAGCAGGGCCAGGGTGAAGCGCCTGCGCCGCTACTGCTTCAGAGTTCAAGGTTCAGCACGGATGCGCCACGCGGCGACGGAGGAAGTCCCCGTATCGGTCTCGGCGCATCGCCGCGGCCCGGCTTTCCGAATGCTACGGGCTACGGGTCAGAGCTTCTCCCGTCGCTAGGTGTGGCTCTGGGAAAACCGGGAGGGAGGATGCGGCTGGATTGAGGCAGAGCGCCTCCCTGCCCCAGCTGCAGGCCACCGCCCCGCGCTCCTCCTCCTCATCCGACTCCTGCTTCCCCCTCCTTCTCCTACTACGACGACTCCATGGCCCGGCTCTTCATCCCTCCTGCTCCTCATCCTCTTCCTCTTCCGCCTCTGAACAAAGAAACGGCTGCATAAACGTAAACTTTTGGCGCTCCGCGCGGATTTCCTCGCCCTCCTCGCTGGCGCGCGGAACGCGCCAGGGGCAGCGCCGGAGGCGCCGCCAAGGGGGTCCCAGCGCAGATCTCAGAAATCCGCGCGGAACGCCAACAGGTTTTTCTTTGTTCCCAACCATCCTGTGGTGTTGGGTCCTCGTTTTGAAGAGACAGCGCCCCGCGTCCCACCTCCTCTCCTCCTCCTCCTCTCCTCGCCCTCCTCCCTCCTCCCCCTCCTTGCCTCTGCTCTCGGCACACCCCTCACACGTTTCGTAGCCCCATAGGGAGCTCCACCGAAGGCCCCACGGCTGCCGTCCGCATGCGTCCCGCACACCCATTTCGGCCATAGGGAGCTCCACCGAAGGCCACATGGTTGCCGTCCGCATGCGTCCCGCACACCCATTTCGGCACACCCCTCACACGCTTCGTGGCCCCATAGGGAGCTCCACCGAAGGCCCCATGGCTGCCGCCCGCATGCGTCCCGCACACCCATTTCGGCACACCCCTCACACGTTTCGTGGCCCCACAGGGAGCTCCACCGAAGGCCCCAGTGCTGCCGTCCGCATGCGTCCCGCACACCCATTTCGGCACACCCCTCACACGTTTCGTGGCCCCATAGGGAGCTCCACCGAAGGCCCCATGGCTGCCGTCCGCATGCGTCCCGCACACCCATTTCGGCACACCCCTCACACGTTTCGTGGCCCCACAGGGAGCTCCACCGAAGGACCCAGTGCTGCCGTCCGCATGCGTCCCGCACACCCATTTCGGCACACCCCTCACACGTTTCGTGGCCCCATAGGGAGCTCCACCGAAGGCCCCATGGCTGCCGTCCGCATGCGTCCCGCACACCCATTTCGGCACACCCCTCACACGTTTCGTGGCCCCACAGGGAGCTCCACCGAAGGCCCCAGTGCTGCCGTCCGCATGCGTCCCGCACACCCATTTCGGCACACCCCTCACACGTTTCGTGGCCCCATAGGGAGCTCCACCGAAGGCCCCATGGCTGCCGTCCGCACGTTTCCGGCACACCCCGTGGCCCCCATAGGGAGCTCCACCGAAGGCCCCAGTGCTGCCGTCCGCATGCGACCCGCACACCCATTTCGGCACACCCCTCACACGTTTCGTGGCCCCATAGGGAGCTCCACCGAAGGCCCCATGGCTGCCGTCCGCATGCGTCCCGCACACGCATTTCGGCACACCCCTCACACGTTTCGTGGCCCCACAGGGAGCTCCACCGAAGGCCCCAGTGCTGCCGTCCGCATGCGTCCCGCACACCAGGTGTGTGGCGTGCCGACATGGGCGTCGCGGCGCGCGGGCGCTGCCGTCGGGGTTCCCAGGGAAGCCCCCTGCAGAGGCGACGCTCAGAGCCACGAGTACCGAGAGTCACGCAGACCCAAGCTGTTCACAGTCGTATACATACATTTACACTGGGCGTATCCATGCACGCATTCATGCGAATAGAATCAATCGCGCGCAGATTCATTCATAATCAGACTCGCTCGCGATCCGACTCGCACGCGCTCAAGCTTTCATATTCGGACCTATCGTCTTCGTTCGTGTTGTGTACACTGCCACGCATTTCGGCACACCCCTCATACGACTCGTGGCCCCATAGGGAGCGCCACCGAAGAAGATATTCACAATTGCGGTACTCTCAACTGCATATGGTTGGGTCCTTCGCCAGGCTAATTTTGGATGCTCATTCTGGAGACCTTCCTGGAGACACTCGCTCCACTCGTGCGTCGAAACTGCGTCGAACGTCCGTCGATTTGAGCCTGAGTCGAACCTGAGTCGAACTCGAGTCGAGCTTGAGTCGATATTGAGCCCATCTGGGGTCGAACTAAGAGTCGAACATATCCGTTAGGTGGGCCTCAGGAAGGTCCCCCAAAAGGATCTCAGAAGTCCGCGCGGATCGCCAAAAGTTATATGTTTTTATGGCGTGTTCAGGGGGCCACACGCGAACCCTACCCCCTACACCCCACGATGTCTGAGGGGGGGAGGGGGGGGGGTAAGGCAGGGGTAAGGTTCGCATGTGGCCCCCCCCCCTCCTCCTCCTCCCCTCCTCTCTCCTCCTCCGCGCTCCTCCCCTCCTCACTCCTCCCTCCTCCCTCCCTCCATCCTCCCTCCTCCCTCCTCCCTCCTCCGCTTCCTCCTCCTCCTCCTCCTCCTCCTCGTCCTCCTATTCTTCTCCGAAGCTCTCCCTCCTCCCTCCCTCCCTCCTCCCATAAAAATTCTCCCTCCTCCCTCCTCCGTCCTCCCTCCTCTCCTCCCTTCCTCCTACCTCCTCCTCCTCCTCCTCCCTTCCTCGTCCTCCTCCTCCCTTCCTCCTCCTCCCTTCCTCCTCCTCCTTCTCTTCTCCGAAGCTCCTCCTCCTACATGCATCGTGAGCCTGCCCTCCTCCTGCTCCTGCTGCCGCCCGCCCCCCCGGCAGCGCCTTCGCGCCCTGCCCCTGGCCGAGGGACACCGACTGCGTCCGCTCGCCCATGCCCAGCCGCTGCGCCAGCCGGACGATCTCCGCCTCCCGCTAGGGACAAGGAAAGGCGACACCAACACCAACAGGGCGAGGAGATGCGAGGAGGCAAGGGGGGTCTCCCTGGTGGTGTGGTCCCCCCCCCCTCTCGCTCGAGACATCCCCAGCCTCCAGCTCGGGGAGGCCTCGTGGACCTCCTCGCTGGAGGTGGCCCCCTGTTGGTGTTGGTGTCGCTTCTCCTCCCTCCGATCCCGCCGGCCGCAGGGAGCGAAGGCACGAACGACGCGCGAGTCGAAGGACGAACATTGCGACGACGCGACGCAGGAGCGAACGCACGAACGACGCGCGAGTCGAAAGGCGAACGTCGCGACGACGCGACGCAGGAGCGAGCGAACGGAACGACGCGCGAGGCGAACGGACGAACGTCGCGACGACGCGACGCAGGAGCGAGCGAACGGAACGACGCGCGAGTCGAAGGACGAACGTCGCGACGACGCGACGCAGGAGCGAGCGAACGGAACGACGCGCGAGGCGAACGGACGAACGTCGCGACGACGCGACGCAGGAGCGAGCGAACGGAACGACGCGCGAGTCGAAGGACGAACGTCGCGACGACGCGACGCAGGAGCGAGCGAACGGAACGACGCGCGAGGCGAACGGACGAACGTCGCGACGACGCGACGCAGGAGCGAGCGAACGGAACGACGCGCGAGTCGAAGGACGAACGTCGCGACGACGCGACGCAGGAGCGAGCGAACGGAACGACGCGCGAGGCGAACGGACGAACGTCGCGACGACGCGACGCAGGAGCGAGCGAACGGAACGACGCGCGAGTCGAAGGACGAACGTCGCGACGACGCGACGCAGGAGCGAGCGAACGGAACGACGCGCGAGGCGAACGGACGAACGTCGCGACGACGCGACGCAGGAGCGAGCGAACGGAACGACGCGCGAGTCGAAGGAACGAACGTCGCGACGACGCGACGCAGGAGCGAGCGAACGGAACGACGCGCGAGGCGAACGAACGAACGTCGCGACGACGCGGCGCAGGAACGAACGAACGGAACGACCGCGCAGGGGCACGGGCCTGCTGGCGGCCTGCGAAGGGGCGGCCGTGGCCGCTCACCTCTGCTCATCCTGCGGGGCGCCTTCGCGGAGCTGTCCGAAGGCTTTTGGTAAAGCCAGCTTCGCGCCGATCCCACAGTGCCTTGCCTTCTCTGATGCTGTCGTAAGCCATGGGACGCCGTTGGTCCACGGGAGGGATGGAAGGGCTTCACGGACGGAGGGCGGGGGGGGGTCAAAATGTGGCTCTCGCCCTAGCGCGGCGCACCTTCGTTGCAAACAGTGGCAATAGTTTGACGGACTGAGGGCGGGTCGTTTTCACAATGTGGCTCTCGCCTTACCGCCGCGCATATTCGTTTCAAGGGTTGCCAGGGTTTCGCGGACTGAGGGTGGGTCGTTTTCAAAATGTGGCTCTCGCCCTGGCGCGGCGCACATTCATTTAAAACATTTGCAAGGGTTTCACGCATTGAGGGCAGGTCGTTTTCAAATTGCGGCGTTCACCATAGCGCGGCGTACACCCCTTTGAAACATTTTCAAGAGTTTCACGGATCAAGGGCGCCTGTAGTTCAGACATGTTGCTCTCGCCCTACGCTCAGGACCTTCGTTTTCATTCACGCCTTTTGTACCACGGCCCCTTTTTCCAACCCCTAGCGTGGCTCTGCCGGAGCGGGCGCACCGGGGGTGAATCCCTATCGCGGTACCAAAAATGTGGTTTGAAATGGTTCAGGATTGCGCGGGCGCAACAGTCATGTTGAGTCGCTGTGTTGAAACCCCAGAAATTCCTGAGGATTCCTACGAATTCCGAAGGATTCGTAGGAATCCCACCAGCCCTCTGGGCGTAGGTGGTCTAGAGCAGATCCTCTTCCACCCCTCCCTCTTCCCCCTTGGGGAGGGGTTTACCCCTCCCTAGCCCCCCTCCGGGGACCGACTGCGCGGGTAGTTAGAGCGTCCCAGATGGCCCAAGACGGCTCCAAGAGCGCCTCAGAAAACCCAAGATGAGCTCCAAGATGGCTCAAGATAGCGCAAGATCGCTCGAGATGGCTCCTAAGATGGTTCCAAGAAGCCCAAAGACGGCCCCAAGATAACTCCAAGTGGCCAAACAGCTCCCCAAGGAGGCCCCGAAGAGGCCAAAATCGTCCCAAAACCTAAGGAAAATCAATGATTTTTGCTTTCTCGCCTTTCGCTTCCGATGGCTATCCGAGGCCTGGAGATGGCTCCAAGATGGCCCAAGAGGGCCCCAAGAGAGCCCCAAAAGAGCCCCAAGACGGCCCCAAGAGCGCCCAAGAGCACTCCAAGAGCGTTCCAAGAGGAGTCCAAGAGGCGATTTTAGGGGCTTCCGAGGGGGGACGCTAATTCACCCCCCCCTCTTGTTTGATCGACTCCCTCCAAGATGGCCCCAAGAAGCGCCAAGGAAGCCCCAAGAGGTCCCAAGATGGCCCCAAAATGGCCCCAAGAGGCCCCCAAGAGGCCCCCCGGAGGCCCCCAAGAGACCCCCAAGAGGCCCCAAGAGCCCCCCCAGATGCACCCAAGATGCTCCAAGAGGCCTCGGCTAGAATGCCTAATCATTGATTCTACACAGGTTTTAGCCACATGGAGGCCTCTTGGGGGGGGGCACGGATTAAGATGACTCCAAGAGCGTCTGGGAGAGCCCAAAATGACCTCCAAGATGGCTCAAGATATCCAAAGATGTCTCATAATGGCTTCCTCTGTGTGCTGCCCACTTCTCTGATCGAGGCAATTCCTCTGGGCATCGTTTCTGGATGGGCTGGTGGGGATTCGCGAAGCGACAACAATTCCTAAGGATTCGTAGGAATTCCAAAGGATCCGTAGGAATTCCTAAGGTTTCCCAGGAATGGCGTTCTGGCACGATTCTGGATCGTCAACACGCAGCAGTCAGGCTGGTCCGTAGCGATGGAATCCCGAGAACCATGTTGTAGCATGCTGCAGGGTCTTCACACAGTTGTCTTCCAACGAGGCAGTTCCTTCGAAGGAAATGAACCGTGGTAGGGGCCTATGAAGAGGGAATTTGGAAGGAAGGGTTTATTCCAATATCATTGACGCCTCTTGGATTTACACTGGTCCTCCTCCTCCTCCTTCTCCTCAGCCTCCTCATCGTCCTCATCCTCCCACCCCTCACTCCCTCCCTCCGTCTCATTCCCCGTCCTCCTCCGTCCTCAGCCTCCTCCTCCTCAGCATGATCCTCATCCCTCCTCCTGCCCATCCCCACCTCAGAGCGAGGGTGGAAGGGGACAAAGAAGCCTTCTCCAGTCCCGTCCTTCCCCCATACCGTTCAAGAAATTGTCTTCCATCTTCGCGTTCAGGGGCATGCTTGGTGGGAGGAGGAAGGCTGGAGGACCAAACATCCCCGACGGAGGAGGAGGAGGAGTAATGATTGATCCGGGAGGGGGGCAGCCCGAACAAAGACACGCCAAACTCGCCAGATTCAGGCAGTCAGACTTTCTGGGGGGCCTGGGACACACACACACACAGTTGCTGCAGGTTTGCGCCGCCGAGGCCACGGGCCCAGGTGAGGCACAAGAGGTTCGCGCAAACGACGCCCAAAACCCACCGTAAAAAACGTTCTCTTGTTCGGCGTCTCGCCTTTGGGCGGAAGGGGCGGAGGGGGGGGGAGGGGGGGGGGTCTGGCTCCGTACCTCTGCTCACGGCGACTGCTTGCAACCTTGCGTCCTGAGGGAGAGACTTCACACCTGCTGTCTGCGACAAACATGCTCGGCGGAGCTACTCCACGGGGGGGAGGGGGGGGAGGGGGGGAGGGGGGAGGGGGAGGGTGGAGTGAGTAGGATGAAAGAGAGTAGAGTAGGGAAAGAGGAGGAGGAGGAGGAGGCCCGCGCCGCTCGGCAAAAGCACGCATCTTCAAAAGCGCGCACGAGCTGCAGCGCGGCTCGCTCTCCCCAAAGAGGCCCCCCCCGTGCTTTTTGCAGACCCCGTCCGGGGCCGCGCCCCCGGGAGAGACGGGCGCCGTGCAAACCACAGCGCGCTCGCGCGCTCCCCGAGCCACGGCCCCCCTGCAGAGTCACCGCGAGCATGCGCCCCCGAGGCCACGCAGCCACCCCCCTGTGGAGGACGCCAAGCACCGCAGCCCCTCGCCGCAGCAGAAAAAACTGCAGAAGGGGCCCGTCCACGAGACGCCTTCCGCAAGCGAGCCAACCACGAGACCCCAGGACGTCCACTGATTTTTCTTGATGTGGGAAAGTCACACTGTCCATGGCAAACCCATCGAGGCCCAAGAGAATCCAGGGCACCCAGGAGGCAGGCAGGGTGTTTCTTCGCATGGGCCCCCACCGCATCGCTTTCTGTCTCGGGACCGTGTGCGGGGGGCGCTCCTGGCTCCTCCGTCGACTCCTGATCCATGGAGAGGAGGCGTCGCGCTCCCTGCCAAACTCATCGGATCCAGATGCTCTCCGACTCGCTTCTGCGCCCGCGGCCAAACAAGTACCCCCACAAGTCCTTTCAGAAACGTAGCCAGGCGGGTTGCCCTCATAAAAGATGTGGAGAAACATGCAGTGCAATATCGGGCTGGGAAAGCCGGCATACCCAAAGAGGGGATGGAGGAGGAATCGGAGGAAGAGAAACCAGAGGAGGGGGAGGAGGGGGAGAGGAACAAGGGATGAGGAGAAAAAGGAACAGACAAGAGGCGACATGACCGTAGTCACACCTCCCCTAAGAACGTGTCAAGACCTCGCCGAGGAACGATACGAGTTCGCACGAATACGCACCGCTGCAACATCATTTTTACAGTGTTGTTTGCATCTCTTTGACTCTCTGGCCAATTTTGATAGGACTTCTTATATAGGTCTTGTCGTCAGCTGCCGCAATTCGATGTTATGCACTTTATTATCTAGCGTTTGGACATTGAGCGAAGAGTGGGAGGGGAGGGGGGGGGTCTGGCTCTGGACCTCTGCTTAGTGCGACTGTTTGCAACCTTCGATCCCGCGTCCTCGCGGCCGCGGTTCCGAGGCGACGGAC